ATGTTTTTGTTAGTGCCCTCGAGTGACTGTAGTTATGCTCGCCGAATCCCTCATCGTCTCCTCGGGGAATAATTAACTTTAATGTTGCTCTCGTCGCGTCACCTTTTGGAGTTCAACACGTGAATTCACTTTGTCGCTCCTGTTCTGTCTGCTTCGCCCCATCCAAAGGGAGCAGGAGCGTCAGCTGTTGTTGTAACTAATCGGCTTTGTTTTCCACCTCAGTGCTGCACAAGGAGCCTCGACAGGTTTGCCTCTGTCTGCTGGAGATCGGTCGCATCATCTCCAAGTAAGTCTTTAAACACCGAAGGCACTTTTAGAGGGATTAGAAATGTTTTAAGATTGAATTTCCACTGTGATCTCTGTGCGTCTCAGGTACGGCGTGGAGCCTCCTGTGCTGGTGAAGCTGGAGAAGGAGATCGAAATGGAGGAGACGCTGCTCTTGACAGAGGAGCCGCCTCCGGCGGTCAAAACCTTCAGCGTGTGTTGCCAGCATGGCGGCCTCTACCAACCCGGGGTGAGTTCAGTGATGAAACAAACTGAAACAAACACGATATGAGGTTTTTTCACCTTGAGGCAAAATCTGTGGCCTCCTTTAGCGACGTCGCTGTGTTCGGAGCACGTGTCGTCTGGATTACGATCCTGATAGGTCGCGTAGAGATGAGGAGATGTTTGGCAATTTAAAGCACACATTGGCGTGAGGCTGCTGAACATGTGGTATGTGTGCAACTGCATTGATGCTGAGCCAAGATGGCGTCAGACGGCCATCGGCACCCCAGAGGGTGCATGACGCATCAGAGCCCACCATGTGATGCTCTGTCGCCACTCGAGGTCACGTGTGACGGCAAATGACACGTGACCTCCAGGCTACACATGTGGGCCGTCGTACATATGTACTCGCAGTGGGTGGAAGTGGTCCATCTCACTCTGCCTCACTGATGGAGACTGAGGGTGGTGTTAGGAGGGTTCAGCCCTCTGTGTGGTTCACTGGGTAAAATGATGCACCAACACCGTCACAGTTGATAGTTTTATTCCCAGAGGAGATGGCTGTGCTAAAAATAAACTGCACTCGTTGAAGTGGAAGGCACTTTGGATAAAAGCATCCACAATCCCAGTGTGTCTCTTCCCAGCTGAGTCTGCCCATTACATTTGAGCAGCAACAATCAGCTCCTTGTAACCTGTGCTGCCTGACAGGTGCCTTCATCACCCGGTCATTGGTCTCATCTTTAGAGAAATTTTAACATAAAGTCGACGTGCTGGACTTCAGTGACACAGAAGGTGTAGTTATTGGATGGATTACTGCTCGCTTAAGCAAACGTGAGGTCATTAAAGTAGGGTGACCATATTTTGATTTAAAAAAAAAAAAAAAAAAAAAAAAGACACTTGACCTAGTCACGAAGAACTTTAATAATACTGTATGAAAATGTAACATATTTAAACTATGCCTTCTCTGTGCGGTTAATAAATGGTGAAATAAAAAACATCATATAGGCTTTTACAAGTCAACAAGTGCAAAAAAAAATAGCTTAAAAACCTCTGGAAGTAAATAATGGTACAGAAATAAGTCTCGTCTGTGTAAGAAAAATTACCGGGACGGTACGAGGGAAATTTCTTTTGCAGTTCTTCTGAAAAGCTGCACTTGCGCTTTGGCATCTTTTAAACATCA